GGAGTCCATCAAGACGCTGATGGGGTATATAGGTGACCTACTTGGGACGCCAGTAGGGTATTTTGTGAAATCTTTTGAATTATGCATCGATGTTAAAATGTGATATGCATTTCAATTATTTGGATTATACTTAATTATGCATTTTTTAAAGTGAAACTGTTAATGCATTCCTGTTAATAGATCTCCTTTTTGAAAATATTGATATCTTTCAATCATGATTATTTTTAGGATTATGATGATCACTTACTGAGTAGCCAAACTCATCAAACTATGGTAAACATTTTTTCAGGATAGCTGCAGATTCATTTTGAGTGCTAGTCAAGATCAACCTTGGAAGATACTGTTGTTGTGCTAGCTTTCTTTATTTACTTTGTAAGACCTCGCCACTGTAAATTTGTCCTATCAATAGATGTATATATGTTTTGTCTGTCACATCTCAGGAATAACAGTATTGTAAATTCTTGGGGTGTGACAAGTGGGCCTAAGGTCCAAACTGCAATATATGAGCCATCCAAAAAATAACTAAAAATGTCGAGATAAAAAACGATAATGAGAAGAAATATGTTTAAGGATTGTGTACTATAAAATTATTCAATTCCGTACAATGAGGTAACAAATACGCTTAACTAACATATGTGAATTTGACAACTTAAAATGTATCACATAATTCACAAATTTTTTTTTGAACATTGTGGCAAGTTAACAAGTCTTAATTACCTGAGTTCACATCTAATGGTCGGTAATGATTACCATATCATTTTACCAAAAATAAATGGTTTTATTATATACATTCATCAAGGTGGTGGTAGATAGGACATGGATATATGTCAGCATGTGATGGACGTAACTGCATATAGTGGCGTACTGACTTATCATAAATAACTTGTATTGTCATGCTTATAAAGATTACCTTATGGCGTGTTATTGGCGCATCCAAATAAGACCTTAGCCCATAACCCTTTGCTTGGGAGAATGATTTCTAGTGCTTAGTTTTTGGGTCAGAACAATCGTAGCTTTGATTGAAAAACCGTTACGCAGCATTAGGTTTTGGGCTTAATTCTTTAAGATACGGCTCATAAAACAAAGAAAATGAAATGCATACTGGTAAAAGGAAGGGGACCAATGTTTCGAAAAAAGAAAGAAAGAAAGAAGACAAGGCTACCTTACTAAGATTTGTGAGTTTTTCTGTCTGATATCCTATTTTAATTTCTATAAAAGAGAAAAAGTCACAATAAAAACTCCTAAAAAGAGAAGCAAATAAACTATGCTTTGATAGGAGTATACTATACATCTATTCCCTACGGTAGTAGAACTATTGGGAGAACTTTTAATCTAAATTTTTGGGATCTATATGAATATCATCATATGATTATTTCCATAGAAAAAAAATTCGGTTTTTGAGTTCCTAAACTCCTAGGTCTTGCCCTCTGAAATTTGGAGCGGCTATTGTTCAATTATGGGAGGTTAATTCTTTGCGACACACAGTTTCATTTAGCTGTTTTTTTTTTTCCTTTGAAATTGGTTAGTAGGTTATAGAAGTTACATCCTCAAATCCTGGGTCCAAAAGAATAACGATAGCATAAGCTCTAACACAAGGGAGCAGATTCACAATGCTCCTATGCGAGAAGCATATTGTTGAGTAAAAGAGACAAACCCGTTGTTTATTTTATTTTATTTTTCTGAGCACATAACTATGCTCCACAAGGAGCATAGTTTATTTCTACTCCGTCAATCAGAGAATCTATTTCGAAGAATATTTTCATTCAGAAATTTTGAGAAACATATAAGAATTTATAATTTATAGATGATTATTCTAAAAAAAATTAAAATTTGAGTTTTCTAGCACATAGATGTCACCATCTAAAAATTGGATGGTCTCTATTCGATCTTGATACATTGTCATTTTAAGCACATAAAAAGTGCAATTAGGAAATATTTTTTATTGAAATATTTTTATTGCAATTAGGAAATATTTTTTATTTTAAGCACATAAAAAGTGCAATTAGGAAATATGTGGGTTAAAGATGCTACATTCCCAAAATCTAACATCATACAATTAAAGGAAAATTTTATATAGAACCCTAATTCCTTATATTATTTCATAGTAGACCCTCTTTCTGTTTTTTTTTTCAAGGGGGTTAAGGAAATCCTCAATGATTTCACTCTACCCATCATCTCTTATCTCTTTCTTTTATTTACTTTTGACGATAAAAATTAACTCCAACAAATCTTTTTATACCATTGCATCTCAAAAATGTTTTTAACCATCTTTTTCCCTTTCCACATATTTAAAATAGTTATTGGGTTGAAATGATATAAAAAGATTTTTTGGGGCTAATTTTTATGAAAGTCGATAAAGAGAGATATAAAAGATGAGGGTGTGGTGAAATATTTAGGGGTTAACAGAAAAAGAACCTACAATGAAATAATATGAAGAGACAGGGTTCTATACGAAAATTTCCCTAAAATTAATTCTATGTCGGATTTTACCTGAGGGAGTGAATGGAGTAGAATATCTTTTGGCTTCTCGAAATTGGGGTAATTTGGTTATTTTTAACATGATCTAGTTTTTATGTGGCCAAGCATGCATGTAGAAATGAGTTACCACTTAAAAATCTATTTTTGATATGGAATTATGGACATAATTTTCAAAAATAAATAATCTTTAATATGGAGATCATGAATATATATAAAAAATAAATTTAAAAAACTAGAAAAAATTATTCTAATAAAAAATATTTGGATCGTTAGTTTTTATTGTTTTAATATGGAACACCTACTTGCATCCATTTGGATGCTTTACACTTTCTGAACCGTATATGTAGAAATGGGACCCAACCCGCACGAAACGATTTTCCTTTTTAAACCAAAAAAAAAAAAAAAAAAAAAAACAATGGATGTTCTTATGGGTTTCTCTTTCAAAAGCACATGACCCTGCATTTCTTTGGCGCGCACCGCGCGGATCGGAGACACTCACCCCTCCGTGTACACTAAAAGCAAGAGCTCTCTCTGCAATTTTCACTCTCTAGAAGAAGAGTAAACATCAATGGGTGACTTAAGGAGCGGTGGTATCCCGGAAGAGAATCTCATGGCCATTATCGATACCTCTGGCCTAAAAGATTCACAAGATGTTGCGGACGATGGTTTTCTCTCTCTCTCTCTCTCTCTCTCTCTCTTCTTTTCTCCACTTCTCTCTGCTATTGTTTCCTTTATTTCTTCGTATTTTCTTCTGTTTCTGTGAACTTCTCCGCATTCCTTTTTTCTTATTCTTCAGTTTCTGAAACCCTAATGAATGGAATCCATTTGTTCGTTGTCAAAATCACTACAGAATTGGCCTTCCTCGAATCTGTTCGGGCGATTTCCATTGTCCCTGAAGAAGGGCCCGTTCCTACTCGGTATGAACATTGTAATGTATTGATATATTTTTGGCATTTCTTTAAATATATGAAGATTGGTTGAGAAATCGACCGAGGACTCGTCCGAGTTATTCAGACTGTAGTCCTTACCGAGCAGGTACATCATGGGCCGCTTAAAAAAATCAAAATGTAAAAAAATATATAAAAATGTAGAACGGATGTATACGAATTATGCATGTAGTTTCCTCTTTTTTTCCATTTTTCTAAAATATCTCGAACCATAAATCAATTTCTTCTAAATCTATGTTTCAGATATTTTCTTTCAGCTTTTTTTGGACCTTTTTAAGTTTCCTTTGGTTTTGTTTTACTTGTACATTTGTTTTTATATTTTGAAAGATTTGTCATTTTTTATTTTTTAGGGCCTTTTGGGCCCTGTATTCTACTTGGCCGAGCCAACTCCAACTTGGCCCAGTTACTTGCCTCAGGTCATGCCCAAGTGCGAGGTCCGAAGGCGAGTTAAAACACATTGATGTAGACCTTTAATATTTGATTCTGTAGTTATTAAAACAGAGGTTTTTTTTCTTTTGTTAGCTGTGGTAGGATTCTAATTTGGGACCTTGTGTTGCAGTCATCAACATCTTAACCAATCAAACCCCAAGTCCAATACCTGAAATATAATTCTGATTCTCTACATTTGTATTTGTTTTTTGGCTTGGAGATTGCTAGAGTTCTAAATTTTTGAGGGAGAGTTGGTCAGCGACCCTGAAGTTTTCATGTTAAAAAAAGTGGGATTTGCAGCATTTCTAAAATAAATTAAGTATTCCTTTATTTTCTCTAATATTTGCATGTGTAATTTCATGGAGATAATTGCGGATTATCTACTTGTATCCATCCAATTGAGGATGCACTTTGCTTCTGGAAATTGATAACTAATTGAAAATAAATATTTAAATATTTTGTGGAACTATTTGTGGTTTACATAGTCTATACTCCCGAAGAGGATGGTTTTTAGGTTGTGTTTTAATAAATTAAGTCAGTGATTTGTAAGAGATTAGAAGCTTTGTAACTTTAGTTTCGTTCTCTATCTTTTTGCACATCTAATAATTGTGCTATGGGTTTTCTAATGATATGGTGAGCGATGTGTTTAATTTGTGTTACTTTCTCTATATGTGATCCATTACTTGAGACTCATATCTTACAAACACATGTGCAACTCTATAAGTGGACTGTTGTTTTGCCATACACATGATAGCACAAATTACATGTATTAATGGATATCTCCATGGTGTGTATGCTTGCACATATGTATGTGTACTGATACTTGATGTTCACCTTCTCATCAAGGAAAATGTATGATGCAATATTCAAGATCTTCACGGATAAGCAGTCTCTAGAATTGATCATGGGGAGCTACCTACTTTTGTGCGATCTAGAAAAGGTGGGTAAGATATTTCTGTCTTGTTGGTATTTGAGGCCACTATAAACAGCGGTGTGCATCACATTAATGTTCTTTCTTATATTAAAATTGGGCATAATGGTACTATGATAATGTATTCTTTGAAACAAAAGTCATTATAATATTTATTTCTTTTTTGTCTTTCAATGTTGGTTAAACTGCATATATAGGAATTGCACAGGTGTTATGCTATCATGGGATGGGTGTCATTAGCATTCTTTTTGCATCACAAAGAAGTTAGTGAAATTTAATTGGTTGACTTATAGTGTTCGTCCTTTCTATCCATATAGATTTTTCCTCGAGTATACCTCACTCGCTCTGATAAATGTGAGCCTTGCACCAGTTCAATTGATGATTTTGTTGTGGTCCCAGAGGTAACATTGTCCTCTTTCTTCCTTGCTTGCTTGGTTTATGATTCCTTTCTTTGCGGTATAATCTTGGCTTGTTTTTGTTTTCAGGCTTGGTCCCCATTTCTGTTCGGACCAGAGAATGTTGTTTGGGAGAGGGAGTCGACCTCTGCCTATTCAGTTGGTCTTGTTGATTCCTCTGTAAGATCCTTCATGTTGCACTTTATGATTTCCATTTTCTTTCTGCAATGCTTCCTAGTTATAGTCGATTATACAGCTGTTAATGTCTTGTATTTCAAATTTAAGAGAGACAGAATGTTGGGCGGTCAAGAAACAACATATCTATAAGATGAGTGTAGTTGAGATGATGAAGTTGAGATGGATGAGTGGCTAAACAAGAAAACATAGAATCCGGAATGAATACATTTGAGGGAACGTAAGTGTAGCTTCAATAGGCGATATGATGGGAGAAAGTAGACTTAGGTGACTGGCCATGTGCAACGTGGACCTAATACAACACCGGTTAGGAGGTGTGATTTGGTTCAAGTGGAAGGCTCTAAAAAGGCAAGTAGAACGCTCAAAAGGACTTGGATGGAAGTAATGAGAAAATATATGGTGACATATGGTCTTATTGAGGATATGGCCCTTTGATAGAGCAGAATGACGGAACATGATATGTGTAGCTAACCCCAAATAGTTGGGATAAGTCTTGGATGGTGATGCAGATTAAGAGAGACTTTGTGTAAATTAGCTTTGATTGTTTTTTAACAATTTTAAGAGTTTAAGATTGCACATTGCATATTTACCAGACTTTATGGAGATGAATTTTGCAGCATTCAACATGTTTTTTTTCTTGTATGAAACTTTTTCATATTGTTCTTCTGTGTAGCTTTCAATGCATTAATGACATCAAGAGATCTATTAATGAAAAAAAACTGCAGGTTTTTTCTGAAAGTAATTGTGTTGACGATGAGTGGTCTCATGAAAGTAATACAAATAAACCTTGTTCTTGAGGCTGCATTTTATGAAGGGGTATTTTGTATGATAAGATGGAATAGCTCTAAGGATCCTAAAATGGTCAATGGGGTATCATTTTCCATGGCCATCTGCTATCGAGTGGGTGTCCAATTGGAAGTCCTGCTTATCACTTTGGTCTCAATAATGTAATTCCATATTGCTCCAGGACACATTGTTTTTATGGTATGGAGTTCAATGGGACATCCTACCAATTGCATAAGCAATTTGAAAATTTGAATGGGTGGCTCTCTAGAGCCTAGCCTAAATCAAAGAGATGCCTTAGCGATGTACTTATCCAATTGGATATTCGCTCAAGAAATTAGAAGTAAAAGAGAAAAGCTAGACATGAAGAACATTATTAGAACCTTCTAGATTGGTGTGCTTAACTCTTAGAAAAAAACAATTAAAAGAATAGACAAGGTTAGCTTTTCATACGCCGTGTGAATCGGTTCAAGTTGATTTTGGCGAGTCAGTCAGCAATCTAAGTCAGATCTTTGAATCCTTGTAAACCATCCGTGTTGTATGATGCTCCTCAAGATTGCTAGTAGCCTCAGCTCTGACTGACACTTGGAAGGCCTTTGCTCTTTCTTTAGACAAATATGGTTGTGCATAGTTTTAAAGATATGACACCAATATAAATCATTGCACGAGTTAAGACTATAGTACACAATCATTGCATGTCAACTTGAGAACTACATTCTTATTTTCTGCAGCAGTTTTTGCCCAAGTCACAAGCAGGTTTTGTTGTAACAAATTACACATAAGGGGGTTAGGGGGAAACATTTGTCAAACTGGTTATTAATTCAGGTTGATTGGGTTAGGGGTGGGCTTCTTTCTCATTGTCATAAGATGGATCCATGATTTTTTGGGTTTTATGTGAAGGGTTGCAGAGAGGGACCTCAGTTTTCTTCCAGAAGGGGTTGCTGATGGTGCCCTGATTAGGACACTATAGACTGCTTATTGCCTGTGGGGAGGTATGATGTCGGATGTGATTGGGAATTTGAGATTTGAATTGATTGTTATTGCTCACCAGAAGATTGGGTTGAGTCTCTGTCTTTTCGTTTTCTGGATGGATCGACATTGAGATTTGAACCTAGGATGTTGTGCTGCAATTGCCAACACTCTAATCATAAAACCAAATGCTTAGTTTCTGATTATTATTTCAATGTTTCTTTGATATGTAAGGTTTTTCCTTTTCTATACCCTCATTTGGGGCTTTTGTCTGCCTCTTGTGTAGTGTAAATGATCAAAGGATCTATGAAGCCCTTGTCCGAATTAATATAGAAATTAAAAAAAGAAGCATTGTGCTGAAATTTGCACTTAATGGAAACGTTTGCATAATCTTTGATTTTAGTTGATTGGAGTCGGGATGGTATTGCTATGATGTGTCAAAA